AAAAAACCTGATTGCCTTCTTAATATGGTATTAAATCTTCGCTAATCGATCGTATTATTTTACCTCAAATTCTGACATCAGTCAATATATATATAGATATAGATTTTTTTGTATATGGTTGTGATGCAAGAGCAATGGGTATCATGGGATGGAAGCTGAGTTCAGGTTTGAACCTTTGTGAACCAGTTTTTCATTTCCCCTATCAAGGTGATTGTCGATAGCTTCCTGATAACCATAATTCGCATTTTCTAAACTTCTTTGCAAAACCCACAAAATTCTTGATGAGGAAAAACTTGGCATGTCTTGTGGTGTGATTGATTAAGTGAACAGAATTGGGAACTCGAGATATAGTTTGCTAGCTTTGTAGTATCATACATGTGAGTATCTTACTGAACATAACTTTTATATTTATGAGTATTTGGCTCAGTTTGCGTACTCCTCAATGGTTCTCACAAGGCAACCACTTAGACAAAGAAATCAAAAAATGTAAAGTACATAATGTGAGACCCCAATAGTAAATACTTATATTATGTTATGAAGGGCAGAGAAGGAATTCGCTATGCCACTAGTCTCTAAATGTTGTATGGAAGTATAAATATATTTTGTGATGTTTGATGTTAGAGTTTAGGGTTTAGTTATATGATGTCTGATGTTGTGTACGTTATGTTTTGTGTCATTAGCTTAGGAGCTATGGTTGTAAGGAGGATTAGACCCCTTCTTAAATTGGTGGTTTTGTGTATTGTGCTTTTGGAACGATCAGCAGGAGAAACCTTACAAAGTGGTATACGGGTCATCTTCCTTGGAAGGCTGGGGAAGACATGTAACAGCCCAAATCCAAGCCCACTGCCCGTAGATATTGTCCTTTTTGGATTTTTCCTTTCGAGTTTCCCCTCAAGGTTCTTAAAATGCGTCTCCTAGGGAGAAGTTTCCACACCCTTATAAGAAACGTTTCGTTCCCCTCTCCAACCGATGTGGGATCTCACAATCCACTCCCTTGGGAGCCAGCGTCCTCGCTGACACATCGCCTGGTGTTTGGCTCTGATACCATTTGTAACAGCCGAAGCTCACCGCTAGCAGATACTGTCCTCTTTAAGTTTTCCCTTTCAGGCTTCCCCTCAAGGATTTTAAAATGCGTCTCCTAGGGAGAGGTTTCCACACGCTTATAAGGAATGTTTTGTCGCCTCTCTAACCAAAGAATATTACATCTCGTACTTTCTTTGTCTCAGTTCTGTGGAATAGAAATTTCATTTTTATTTTGAGAGTTGTTAGCAATATTTCCTTTTCATATTATAAATTCTCATTTTTCTTTTTTCATGTAGATAAAAAATCAGCGTTTGAGTAAAGTAGGCTCTGGAAAGGACGTGCGCCACTTTGAATTTGAATTTGTTTCTTCTGTAAGTTGGTAATTTCCAATTTTTCATTACTTATTTTTCATTGTTTTTTTTATGTAACTCAGTGATTGCATTTTGAACTAATTTTAGGTAATAGAATATGAAGTTGGTGATGTCCTCGAGGTTCTTCCCAGTCAGAACCCTGCTGCTGTAAATGATTTCATACAACGTTGCAATTTGGACCCTGAATCATTTATTACGGTAAGTTTGGTTTATCAATTTGTAAATTCTTGAATCAGCTTATTTCATTTTTTTTTTTTTGGGAAATACTCAAAGATTCTATTTTCATTGTGTGTGATATACTTGTGCTAGAAAATAGGTAGTACAGCGGTTTTATCTGTAGCTGTTATCTTTTTCAAATACATTACGGATTTGTAACAGCCCAAGCCCACCGCTTGTAGATATTGTTCTCTTTGGGCTTTCCCTTTCGGGCTTCTTCTCAAAGTTTTTAAAACGCGTCTGCTAGATAGAGAGTTCCACACCTTTATAAATAATGTTTCGCTTCTCCTCCCCAACCGATGTGGGATCTCACAATCCACCTCCCTTCGGTGTCCAGCGTCCTTGATGGCACACCGCCTTGTGTCCACCCCCCTTCGGGGCTCAGCCACCTTGCTGGCACATCGTATGGTGTTTAGCTCTGATACCATTTGTAACAGTCCAAGCCCACCGCTAGCAAATTGTCCTTTTTTTACTTTCCCTCAAGGTTTTTAGAACGCGTCTGCAAGGGAGAGGTTTTCACACCCTTATGAAGATTGTTTTGTTCTCCTCCCCAACCGATGTGCAATAAACAAAGAAAGTTTACGTTTCTACGAGGCCTACTCTGTCGACATTAATCTTTAACATTATATGAAGGTTGCTGTATTAAATCTTCTACTTACCAAATAACACTTCTAATTTCAGATTTCTCCCAGAAATAGGCGCAAACAGGATCCCATCCCAACTGCTACCCAAATGGTTCCTATCAAATTGAAAACTTTTATTGAACTGACCATGGATATTGCATCAGCTTCTCCTCGACGCTATTTTTTCGAGGCAAGTCCTTCGAACCTCTTCATTTTTTCATTTCTCTCATTTTATTTTTAGGGTGTTCAGATGAAATTACAACCTTGCTTCTGTTTTATTTATTCATTTATATTCCCAAACATAATTTTTCTCGCAGGTTATGAGTTACTATGCAACAGCTCCACATGAAAAGGAAAGACTTCAATATTTTGCGTCGCCTGAAGGAAGAGATGATTTATATCAGTACAATCAAAAGGAACGAAGAAGTGTTCTTGAGGTGATTCCAAACATTTAAGTAAATGCATGCTGCCCCAAATATTTGTGCTACATTTTTCTTTTAGCTTAAGATATAATACCCAATAGAGAGCTAGAAGATGAAATTATCCCATTTACTTGTCTTGGTAATACTACAGGTATTAGAAGATTTCCCTTCTGTGAAAATGCCATTTGATTGGTTGGTTCAGTTGGTTCCTCCATTGAAAACAAGATCATTCTCCATATCTTCTTCCCCTTTAGCTCACCCGAATCAGGTGCACTTAACCGTAAACGTAGTATCTTGGACGACACCATATAAAAGGAATCGGTTGGGTCTTTGCTCGAGTTGGCTTGCTGGACTTGATCCCGAACAATGTACGTAGAATAGAATTCGGCATTCGTTATTTACGTAGCACTGAATTTGATTTACTTGATGTGTATATGGATATGTTTGATACAGGCGTTTGTATTCCGGTGTGGTTCCATAAGGGTTCGCTTCCCGCTCCATCCCCATCTCTTCCTTTGATTCTCGTTGGACCCGGAACAGGTTGTGCACCCTTCAGAGGATTTGTAGAGGAAAGGTCCATGGAGAATCCCTCCATGTCAACTGCTCCAGTTTTGTTTTTCTTCGGTTGTCGAAATGAGGACAACGACTTCCTATATCGAGATTTCTGGTTATCGCATTCGAAACATCATGGAGTACTATCAGAGGAGAAAGGTGGAGGCTTTTATGTCGCGTTTTCCAGAGATCAACCGCGGAAGGTTTACGTGCAACATAAGATGCTTGAACAGAGTCAAAGGATTTGGAACATGCTTAAGGATGGTGCTGCTGTATATGTTGCAGGCTCTTCCACAAAAATGCCTGCAGATGTATGGTCAACTTTCGAGGAAATTATATCGAGAGAAACTCGGGTTCCACGGGAATCTGCTGTAAGGTGGCTAAGGGCGTTGGAGAAGGCTGGTAAATACCATGTTGAAGCTTGGTCTTGACCGAGAAGAGAAGGCGAGAAGCTTGACATGGAAGATCATATTTTATGAAAATCGAACTTTCTTTGAGAAAAGATGAAAGAATACATAGACATAACGTGGGAATTTGTTGTACTTCATCTTATATTCTTTTGAATGCTATAATCAAAATGGACTATTGTGAATCCGTATACCATAAAGAAAATATAAATCTTTATTCTTGTGAATATGCGCTAATTACATTTGAATTATATTCATTTTGGCAACTGACCCTGAATTAGAAAAGAATAGTGTAGTGAAATTTTAATGCATAGAATAATGGTGTATTAGAAATCATTGTGGGTGTGCTGCCCGGGGTCTCCATGTTACTATTGTGGCCGCTGGAATTCAAGCCTAGGGCTCCACGACCACATCTGGCCGCTGGAATTCAAGCCTAGGGCTCCACGACCACATCGTGAAATTCTCACCACAAATTACAGTCAAACAATAAATATTTATAATTCTCACCACAAATTACAGTCAAACAATAAATATTTATGTTAAATGAGTGAGATTAATTTAAAATTTATAAAATGAAGTAACTAAAATCAAGTACTAAAATCAAGTATGGCTTGAGATTGTAAGATAATTGTGATGGCAGATCCGAGCCCTTATTAAAGACTAAAAAGTAAAGACCACAACGTTGAATTCTCACCCCAAACTACAGCCAAACAATAAATATTTATATTAAATGAGTGAGATTAATTTAAAATTTATAAAATAAAGTAACTAAAATCAAGTATGGCTTGACATTGTAAGATAATTGTGATGGCAGATCCGAGCCCTTATGAAAGACTAAAAAAGTAAAATTGTGGCTGCTGGGATTCGAGCCCAGGTCTCCACGGCCACAACGTGGAATTCTCACCACTAAACTACAGCCACACAATTAATATTATGATTAAATGAGCGAGATTAATTTAAAAAATTTAAAATAAAGTATCTAAAACCAAATATGCCATGAAAATTAAGATTAAAAAGTAAGATTGTGGCTGAATTCACACTGGGAATACTCACCGCTAAACTACAACCACACAATTAAGATTAATATTAAATATTAAATGAGCGAGATTAATTTAAAATTTATAAATTAAAGCAACATATTAATTTAATAAAACCAAACATTGCATAAAATTCTGACCATTAAACTACCGGAATAAAACTAAGCTAAAGAGTACAGTAATAAGCTGAACATTGAATACATTAACTGGGCATCTTCAAAAGTTGCGCAAACAAGACAGACTTTAACTATAGAGTATACATATTAAGACCACTTTTCCTTTCCTTTCCTTTAACGATCAATCATTTAAAACGGCTGGAAGACAATTTTGAACAGGCAAATTTCGTTCATTGAGAGATGTATACATCCAATGTGATTCAAGTTCATAAATTCAGTATCATTAGAAAAAAATCAGCAATTTAATTTAAACAAACCATATATGAATGTGATCAACATGACTTGAATCACATTGGATGATGTTAAACAATAACCACAAGCAAAGTATACAAGTGATGTGCATTACCGTCTAAAAGCGTTGGCTTCAATCTCAGATTTACCCTGTGAATAGTATGTCCTCCGACGAATACTCTCCTCGATCGTTGAGCTTCCTCCCTTCTCGGCACTATACATGCGTTTCTGAGCAGTGTCTAAGAAATTTCGACTCGAGGGCACTGCATTTTGTTCGGCTTCCAGTGCATCATCCTCGGCTGCCTTCTTCAAACGCCTCCATCTTTGCTCTTCATGGAACTCAGCATCCTGCTGCATCTCACGCAGCCTGGCTGCACGCTCTTCTTCTGAAAGCTTGGTAGCAGGCCTACGATGCTTATGGCGTGGCTCGAAAGGAGTATTAGAAGCATTCGGTTCATAAGTTCTTGATTCCCCCACTCTTCTACTGTCCTTTTCATTGTGAGTATAAGAATCTCTGTATCTCTTTGAACTGTCATGATGTCTCTCTTCTGCATAATAATCATGAGGATTGCTTTTGGGCGTCTTTCGATCTGACTGATCATATTTTGAGCCACTATCACGATCCCTCTCATTCATATAATCAGTTTTGCTTCTTCTATCTTCTGAATAAGAACGAACATCACGTTTTGAACTCTTGTCACGATCATGATTCCTTCTCTTCCTTCTCTGCCTCTCAGGGCTGGCACTTTCAGAATCATACTCCCTTCCCGGAGGAGAATCTTTACGACGTTTTGATTTACTATGGCAATGCTTCTTCCGTTCTCCTTCGTCATCAGGATTCTTGGCCTTGTGTTTTTCCACTTCAACCTAATAATTTTTAAAGAAGAAAACACCTCAGATCTATTCTTCAAGTCAAACAAGGGAAAGAGCTTGCAGATAATACGATCATGAGATAAACAGAGATTCTATTACAAGAATGAAAATTATTGTACCGGAACATTCTTGATGTGGCAGTTCATTATTTGTCAGGGGAATTGTTTAACACAAGTGATAAGGAATCAACGGGAAATCTCTTATTCCTTATCATTTGATATCAGAACTTTAGGCTCAAGATCGGATATATATTTCCTTTGAGGTTATATAGAACCATGTATGTTGTATTTGTAAGGAGACTCAGCAAATGTAGTAAAATGAGCATTTGTGCTTTCCTTTAGCAAATGACTAAGTTTTCTTGCAATTCTATGTAGTTTAGATGGCATGTTTAGAATCATTCAAATTAGACATGATCGATCTTGCTTGTGGAGTGATTCGAATCTCAAACAAGTGTTCTTACCTTGAGATATTCAATCAACAAGGTAATACGAATCTTATTTCCTTCTTAGTGATTCCTTATCATTTGGTATCAAAGTTTTTTCTTGGATTGATTTCTTATCAACAAGCTTCCACTTTTGCCACAATTGACTAGCCATGAAGATATACCGAAAGAAACTTTCTGATCATAGATTCATCTTTAGCTCCTATCGACAGGGCGAGAAATGCAGAGAAATCCATTACATCAACTCAAAAGAAAAACTTGGAATTTAGATAAGCCACCAGCTTTCTCTACCACAAAGTGTCCATGGACATAGTTCAGAAACTTTCTCAAGAAAATAATGAATGGAAAAAGGATATTTCAATATAATTTCCATAGCCCGTGTTAGGACAGTAAAAGTTCTAGAACTTAATAGTGGTTAAAGGGATGTAAGGAGAAGAAAAAAGCATTAAGGAAAAAATGAACTTACAGTCTTGCGAATCATAGCCATCTGAATAGGATTGTTCTTTACGCGTGCAAGAGCTTATTGCTCACGCTGCCGAATGATGAGCAAGGGATCAGAATGGAGCTTCCTCCATGCGTCATTTGCAGAATGAGGCTTATCCTCAAACAGAGCACCGGGGGCAGCGGCTTCCTGCAGAAACAACACAAGGAAACAACAATCATAATTGAGCACCACGAAGAGATAGCCAAAGCACACAAATTGCCAAAGCACACAAATTAACAGCGAGTGCAACAGTACCTTGGAACTAGATGGTTCAGGGGCAGCCGCAGCAGTAGATGTAGTAGTAGGTAGAGTTTCGAGGCTCTTAAATCCATCGGAATTGCTACCTTTCCCGACTGCCAAACCCGATTCATAAAGAAAATCCAATCTTTCCTGCTTCCTGGAACGCCATATAGTCCAAAATTTAAATATTGCTCAAACCAATCGAACTACTTAAGCCCTAACCATCGCCTTGGCGCTAACCCTAATCTACGCAACGTTTTCAATCCTCATCTATTCAGAGATCGAATCGGATTTGAAACTTACAGACTATGAATCAAATGCATAATTAAAACTGTTAACAACAATATAGAAGATAAAACATACGGAACGAGGCCGGCCTGTTCTTGGAGAAGACGAAACTCTTGACGCTCCTTCTCCTCATGGATTTGCTTGCGGAGTTCGTCCAACTTCTTCTGCTCGGCCTCATGCTTTTGCTCCGCCTTCCACACGTTCTCTATATTCCGGAGACTGCCAGTGTGCCATCCTTTCTTGTTCAAGAACTTCAATGCCATGTCTCGAATCAAGTTTCAAACTGAGGATCAGATTTTCCGCCACCGGCGCGGTGGTTTTGTGGGGAAGAATCCGATTTTCTGATTGGGAATCGGACGGTCGCCGCCGCCACTTCTTCTCGCGCGCAATTTCATGGCCCAATAGTAATCTTGACCGAGGCCCAAGATAAGAAGGAAAGGATTTTTTTTTTTTTTTTTTTTTTTTAGTTTATAAAGGCTTAACTTTTTCAATAAAAAAAAATATTTACACTTTTTATAATCTAAAAAATTAACTGATATTTAAAGTTTGAACCTAAAATTAAGAATAAAGTTTTGCTAATGATGATAATAATAAATAAATTAAATTATAGTTTTCATCCTTAAATTTTAAAAATATATTATTCCATTCTTAGTTTTGCCGCTAAAATTCTAAAAAAAAATTAAATTTTATGTTTATATAATCGTGAGCAATTTAACCATTTTTTAAATTATCAAATATAAAATTTTGAAAGCCTTGTATTAATTAAGATATAAAATTTAATTTTATATTTAATAACTCAGTTTAATTTTTTATATATATATATATATATTTTAAAAATAAGAGATTCATTGAACTAAAAAATCTGTCAAGTTCAGTTTACACGTAAAAAAAAAAAAAGTATAATTCTTAAAATTTGAAGTCGGTGTAAATTAACAATTTGTTTTTTCTTCTGGGAAAGCGAATGGATTAATTTGTTGGATTAGTGGAATGCTTTAAGTTATAGAAACGGGGAAATTTCCTTTCATTTTCCAGGAAATTCAATGCTGGGAAGGAAAGATTCCAGGGAGAAGAATTCGAATTCTACCTGCGTCATGATCTTCACTTACCTGGATTTGAGATGAACCAGAAAAAAAGGTGCAGAGAAGCAAAACGAGCGGAATCACATGAACGGCAGATTCGGCGAACTTGACTCGCGCTTTCTCTCGCTTCATCATCTCGGCGACCGGATCATTTATTGGCAGCTCATTGCCGTCAAAGGACGACCACAATCGCGACCCCTGCCCTGACTTCGAGGACGGGGCCGAATGCGAGTAGTATTTATTGGAGAATCGGTTCCAAGAGCTCGTTGATCGGTACATTTTTCTCTTTTCTGTAAATTTCTCTTTCGCGATGAGGAGAGAATGATACTGAATGTGTGTCGGTGCGCAAGATATGGTGGTAAAGACAGGAGAGAATAATCGGCTTCTGAATTGCAACTAATCTTTTTGATAAATGTCCTGACTGATGGTCGAGCACATCAATTGGTAATTAACTTGACTTCTCTCGAATCTGACTTTGTCTAAGTTTTTCACATTCACTTACTCGTGATAAAATTATATAATCTATGCGTATATACTACAAAACGTATAGGAGTCGAAATTCAAATATCTGATATCTAATCTCTCAGCTGACGAATGCTTGACTATCTAAGCAACATTCAAGTTGTGCTTCAGGTATGACATAAATCATGTCGATTTGTACTCTTTTTTTTTTCTTTTCGAGTTCAACAATAGCTGAACAGGAATAGAACATTCATCTTTGACAGGATAACTAATATCTTACTACTAAGTAATGTTTGAATCGTTGTTAATTGACTGAACTTAGAGTATGTTTGGATCGACTTTCTAAGTGTTTAAAGAAGCGTTTCTAAGTGATTTTATAATCTCTTAAAACGTTAATCGATTCTTACTCTAGAAGTTTAGAGAGTAGATGCTTAATTATTCAAATTATAACATTCATTTGATATGAATTGAAAACAAGAAAGGAAAAAATTGAAAGTCATGTGCAGATGCATATGAAAAATAATCTAGTATATATATTAAGAAAGAGAGCAAACACTACATATAACATGTGGTGAAAACAGAAGCATTAAAAAAAACATATAAACCCTTGAGACAATCCCAGTCACAATCTCAGACCCCCATAAAAAATAGCGCTGTTATTGGGCGCACACAAGAAAAGGGAGGAAAAGTTGTTTGATCCTATGCTACCAATCGCTGAAGAGAAAAACTCTTTTTTTTTTTTTTTTTTTTCTTTTTTGTCTTCCTTTCTTCCTTATGCAACCTACTTTTATTGTAATTAGTATATTATCACCTTTATAATAAGATAAACTTGATTCAAGCATCATCAGTCTGAAAGCTGAAGATTAATCCTGGATCTTGAGTGTGTCGATGAAGCTCTTTCCTTCTGCAAGATCGTTGCTGGAGAGAAATTTGAGAAAATCATTGAAGCTGCTCTCTTTATACTTAATAGGATTTTGTTCATCCACAAGCTCTTCTGCAGGCTTCATTTTCTCGTCCATTCCCAAGCTGTGTAGACTGGAAATGGAGATTCTTGTTCTCTCAGAATTGACAATGGCTCTGTGGACGACACCCTTGTAAAGCCCATTGCTTAGAACCTCCACATGATCGCCCACATGGACCTGCAGACTGCCATCAACATTAGGAACCATCTTCCATTTCCCATCAGCCCGGTCCATGATTTCAAGTCCCTGGCTGCTTTGCAGAATTGTGGTTATGCAGCTGTAGTCTGTATGTGGTGGCAACCCAAGTGCGACCCCTGGCTGTGGACATGGCGGGTAGCAGTTTACTGCCACTACCTGGACTCCTTCAGCCATTTTGCTGCTGAGGTATGTTGGTCTTAAACCCAAGCTTTCAGTTATGGCTTCCTCTATCTCTAAGCTTACTTTTCTCACCTCCTTGGTGTATTGTCCCATCTTTTCCCTGAAACGGTCATACACATATATATATATATAATATGTATATATATACATGTAAAACACAAGGACATGTCTCTGAAGAACGTATGCACCTAGGATCTTATAAAATTTCAACTCATATGTGGTTTTCTCAAAGTAAGAGATTAAATAATAGTTTTTTTTGGGGGGGATGATTTTTATATTGATATTTTAATCAGAGATGTCCATATTTTTGTCGGTAAGTAGTGCTTTCTGTCCTGTTTTGATGGTCATTTATTGGTGAGTGCATGTCAAGTCCTATATTTATGGTTCATTGTAGAAGAATGCTCAAGTATGCTGAGTATGCATAAAAAGAGTCCAAACTTTTAGACCATACTCAATGTTAGCATAATTAAAAATAGCATTGTTAGCTGAAGTTCTGGTTCATAGGCGTCAGCATATGCATAGCGGTGATCTCTTTGGCGGTCCAATGGTTTTATTGTATCTTTCTGTTGAATTTCATTGTACAGCCTTCACATGTAAGTAAATTTTGCATGGTAATCAGGAAAAGAAAAAAAATGGAAATTGGGTCAGAAGTGGAGATGGAGAATTAAAATATTGAGTTACCTATAAGTATGTGGATTGGTGGGCCAGGAGTCTACCCAATCTTCCAATGGATGAGCGTAGTGTTTGAGGAAAACTCTCCAAAACTTTATTTTGTCTACTCCATCTTTCAAGCTTGTTCCATACCTGACTGCTTTGCTAACATCATCTGACTTATACTTCATCTTCTCCTTTAGTGGTAAGTTAAAGAACTCCCTGGCTTGGTTTAGTGCTTCCTCCATCACCGTTTTGCTGATTCCATGATTGATTATCTGAAGAAAAACAAATAGAAGTTAAGAGCTAGCTAATATAAAAGAGGTAGGTTGCTTGAAACTTTACCTGAAAGAAGCCGAGGCTAATGCAAGCTTTTCTGAGCGCTTCAATGGTGAGGGACCTTTGAGCTGAATCATTTGATCTTAGAGAAGCCATGTCAATGATGGGAACAATGGCGGTCTCCGGGGACAAACTCGGGCGCTGTGGGGTAGGAATCACATAAGCATTAGGGACATAGTTTAAGCCTTTCTCTTGTGCAGTCTGTCCTGTGGTAAATGACCCTGAACTCTCACCTTTTAGCCCCATGTTTTGAAGGTTGAATTTGAGAGGAAGGAGATGAGATAGAAGGAAGACTTATACTATGGTTTATAAATACACAGAGTTGGGTTTATATAGGAACCGCCGTATCTTTGTTGCTTTGAATGCAGACCAAAAAAGGATATCCAGTGAAAAGGGGGTTTTTTAAGTGCTTTCAACTACGATCCAAAACATTACTTTTAGCATACCTTGTTTCTCCTTCATGGGGTGGGACCAAAAACAAAAGGGCTGCAATTAATTTACTTGGTTTTTCTCATATTAAAGATTAAAATTTTAAGGTTAATTACCGTTCTTGCTAAGATAGATGGTCACATGTCGTGACTGATAGTTATTTTCGGTTGGATATATAGAGTAGAGTATTTTAAATTTATATCTATTAGTTATTAGAGAGCATACAGATTTTTTAATTCGCATCCTACAATGATCGGAATACTTAACCTTGTGTGATCTAGTTGATTTTTTTTTCTAATCTATGGCTTTTTAGAGTTGAGTTTATACTTTTATAATTTGATTTTAGGGTAATTTTCATTAATTTTTTTTAAATCAACCAATCGAACATGAATGAATACATCCACCAAAAGAGGAATGTCCACACTGAATTATAAATGGGATGAACAAAATTAGAAACTTGGGTTAATTTTAATGAAGTTGTAAGTGGACTCACAATATTTAATAGTTTTGGTTTAGTTATATATATAGGAATAGAACAGAAGAGGTCATAGCAAGTCCAGAATTGTGGTTAGGATTTTGCGAAATATTTAAACCCTAAACATAATAATTACGTCATAATAATAAGCTATAAATCTGGGGAGCCACCGCTTTCGAAGAAGCAAGTCTAGTAAAACGAGGAAGGGGGGAGAGAGAGAGAGAGAGAGAGGAGACTAAGAGTTTTATTTATTTATTTTTATTTTTTGAAATTTCAAAGGAAAGATTTTACGCGGAACCGAGTTTTTGTCCACCTTGATGCTTGTGTCCAGGTGCGCCGGAAACTATTTTCGTATGACACGTCATTATTTTATATATTCATTTATATTTAAAACAAGTCTCATGGAATATAAAAAATAAATTGAATATAACATAAGAAAATGTCCACCTATCATAAATTTCATATTAATATAATAACAATTTAATCACACCTAAGTGAGGCCATAAGTTGCATCAATTCAAATATTATATCGAATTTATCCTTTATTTATTAAAATAGTAGTCAAATGTATATTATTCTCGACCTAATTAAATAAAAGAAAAGATTTAAATTAAAATAAATATGTTCTGAATCTTATCCACCAAACAAAATATTTATTTTGTTTATTAAAAATAAAAGTAAATTTTTATTCAAGATATTTTCTTAATATGAAAGAATCCTAGTTCATATTGGCCCCATGCACTTGGACGTCCACATAAAATGATATCTTCTTTCTTTGTATTCAAAAAGTCAAAAAGGATATTAAAAAAAAAAGGGAAAATTAATAATAATAATAATAAAAGTAATAAAAATACAAATAAAGACTTTGCCTTGTCAATCCATTGGCTTCATTTCACATTGCAAGCTTCCTCTCCCTCTTGATTTGGCACTGAAAACTTTACTTTAATATATTAACATATATATATATATATATATACACCCAAAATAGACCGTCTAACAAATTAAAGTTTATGTTATTATAATACCGTATAAAGTTGGTATGTCATTGATGAATTTGTATCTGTATAATCAATGGGTACCAAAAATTAATATATATACAAAGTAATCCCATAACAAACTCTTTAAAATAATATTTTCTTAGACGGTAGAATGTTGTTATGTCAGGAATGAATCCTTCTCTATGTTGTTATCTAATACAAATAATTTTACACATATGCATCTATGATGTCGTTCTTCAACAGTCTCAATACGTACTACAATTATATATATATATATCAATATAATAATAATATCATAGCTTATAAAACATTTACCAGAATAGTAATTACATAAAAGGAGTCATTTACTCAGTAGTAACATTATTTTATATATTTATTAAATATTTTTTTAAATTCAAAAATATATTTGATAGATTGAACTTTTAATTTAACGACTAAATTAAAAAAAAAAGAGCTTATTTCTAAATATAATGAAAAAATGGTTAATAAAATTCTTAATAGATTTTTTTAAAAAATTAAAAAATTAAAGAATTATTTATTTAATAGAATAAAATTAAAGATGAAATTTAACCAATAAAAATCTAAAATAAAATAGAGACCTTTTTTTAAAATAAATAAATAATAATTAAAAAAAAAATGGCAGTGACCCTAACAATTTCGTATCAGAGGCTCATCCCTTGAGGAACAAGGTTTAATATACCAACACGTCTCCCTCCCATCCTTCTTTCCACAATGCTCCGAAACTTAGCCTTACCCTCTGCGTCCTTTTCTTCATCTTCTTCAACCATTCCTCCTCTGCTACTGCTCGTCTCCTCTTCCCTCACCAAACCCTCTCCCAATTTCTCCAAACCCTTCTTCTCCCAATCCAATTTCGCAATCAAACCCATTTCCCCCTTCCCCAAAACCCTCAGACCCGTTTCTTCCAAAGGGCCCTCCATGAATCTCTGGACCAAGCTCGGATTCGGCTCCAGAGCCTCCGAGGCCTCCGCGGAGTCGTCGGCGATTGCGCAGGGTCCCGACGACGATATTCCGGCGCCGGGCCAGCAGTTCGCCCAATTTGGGGCTGGCTGTTTTTGGGGCGTCGAATTGGTGTTTCAGAGAGTGCCGGGTGTCACCAAAACGGAGGTCGGTTATTCTCAAGGACATCTTCATAATCCGACTTATGAGGATATTTGTACAGGGCAGGCCTATCACTCTGAGGTTGTTCGGGTTCAGTATGATCCTAAAGAGTGTAGTTATGAGTCTCTGCTTGATGCGTTTTGGGCTCGACATGATCCCACTACTCTTAATCGGCAGGTTGGTTGAGTTTTTAACCAATTTTTGTGATGTCATATGGTTATTGCCTCAATTCTTTGGGTTTCGTTTGAAATTTCTACTGGGCAACCTTTATTTTGGTAGTTCTTTTTGGGATTCTTGGAGTTCATAAGTTCTTATCAAGATTTCGATTTTTTTAAAAAAAATTAAGGACATTATTCCAATGGTTAGAGCTCCTATGTGTTTCAAATGGCAGTTCTGTGAAGCCTTAGTCTCAATGTTTGCCTTGTTTCATCAAGATTCATGTAATTATCAATTGGGTATGCAACTTGTGTATTTTTAGGCTATTTGATTGACATAGTTTCCTTTTCATTGTCTTGTTATACTTCCATGAATAGTGCTTATATTCCTTCTTCGATGCCCTTTTGCTCCCTTTTTGTTCGTTGGTTGTTCATTGGGGCCGTGCGGGTAGGGGTCGAAACGTTAAATTCTTAGGGAAGGTGAGTTCTTCTTGTGGCTTGTTGAGCTTGGAAGGATAAACCCCATTTACTTTACCGAGAGGTCTCATGTAGTGAAAACTCATGCAAGGACGGGTAAAAGTGGAAATTGATCTACTGACTGTTAGTACGAGGGTGGGGGACAGTAGTATTAGCCCATGCCCGGGATTTGGATAAGGATTCGAAATCCGGAGTCAGCACCTGATGTCTCCAAGTATCTCCCAACATCCCCTGCAACATTGTCATATTACTTGTTTCTAAAAGTGAAGACTATCCCCACGGACCAACACTGGTCCTTTCAGCATCTTTTGTCCTCATTCACATACTTCCTAGGAATATTTCCAGAAGGTCGCCCAATATAGAATTGCTCCAAGCAAAACATATTTAACTTTGGGGTTCCTATGATTGAGCCATCGAAAAAGAAGGTGCATCTTTAGTATAGGTAGTAACTTTCAATTCTTTTAAGCTTTTCTTAGTCATCCTATCCTCAAAATTGCTCTCATTTGGACGTGGTATCGATTTATTCATGTGCTCCTCCTTTACCCGAGTGTTACATTGTGTCTTGGAGTAGGAGAGTTTACCGGAGTAGGAGAGTTTACCAGCTTTCTTGGTGTTGGTTTCTTTCTGTTTTCTTGGAGCCTGTGTTACTGTATGAACTTGGAGGATATCTCCATTGTTCCTCTGTTTCTAAGTTATTTTCCTTTATATAGCAATCAAATAGCAAGGGATTATTTCTCTGTGGTCTGTTTTTGTGTTCTGTGATCTTGTGATCTTATTGTGAGATCCCATACCGGTTGGGGAGGAGAACTAAGCTCTTTATAAGAGTGTGGAAACTTCTCCCTAGCAGATGCGTTTTAAAAACCTTGAGGGAAAGCTCAAAAGGGAATGTCCAAAAGAGGACAATATCTGCTAGCGGTGGGTTTGGACCATTACATTATTCAATGAGTGATTTTCAGGGGATGGACCCCACTCCGACCAGCATCTCAAATTACTTGCTAATCTTTGGATGACAGGGAAATGATGTGGGAACACAATACAGATCTGGCATATACTTCTACACTCCTGAACAAGAGAAAGCTGCTCTGGAATCAATGGAACGCTACCAGAAGTCATTGAACAGGAAGATTGTGACTGAGATTCTTCCTGCCAAGAAGTTCTACCGAGCCGAGGAATATCATCAGCAATATCTCGAGAAAGGAGGCCGATTCGGCTTCAAGCAATCGGCTGCTAAAGGCTGTAACGACCCGATCCGATGCTATGGTTAGTTAAGCTGGTCTTGGCAGGTAATATTTAGTTTCCAGCTCCAAGATTATGGTATTCTACAAGCTCTATCCCACATGCTTGTCATAAGAATCTTGAACGTATGTATGTATCTGTAATTGGTTTGGCTTCAATAATAAACCAATTTGTAGTTGCAATGATGCTTTCCCTCAATCTTTGATTCGAGTTTGATTTCGAGTTCAGATTTTTTTCTTTTTTAGGGTTGATAGAGGATTAAATTTCCCGTAATACATTGACTTAAATTTTTAGACTCGTGATTTGATCATTCAAATCCCTTCTAAAAAAAATTATTTGAGGAGTTGTAATATAGGA